ATGTAGAGACATGTATTTAAAATTTTTTTAACTCAAACACTATTGTACCTTGTTATACAATAGGAATGTCCATCACATATCCCTTTTCTCAAATGCCTTATTTTTTTTTTCCATCATATACCATTATACCATAATTCTATAATAGAAATGCATCATATTTACTTTGTTAAGCACCATTATACCTTATTGTATAATAAAAGTGCATATCGCACTTGCTTTGTTAAGCACTACTATACCTTATTGTATAATAGAAATGCTATATAAAATTTCAATTAGGCATCATTGGTCTCATCACCAATAACAATACATAGGGATATCATAATAATCCCCCACATTGGGAATATCTGAAATATGTGATTTTCATATTTCTCAAATAATTGAGTTCATGAAGAATAAATGGAAACTCATTTATTCACAAAATTTCATAAGAGTATATTAGCTCATCTCATATTTTATTGCAACAAATGGCTCCTTGGTAACGTAAAATTAAAAATTTAACTTACGTTTCTAGAATATATCAACCCAAATTCCATGTCCATTTTTTCAAAATTATTGTATGGACCAAATTGGGTAACTCTCTTCTTTAGTCTTTTCACTTGGATTCTCAAAATTTTCCATGGTTCCTAACTAAGTAAGACAACACAACATTCACTAAAGATTTGTTAGAGAACAAAAATAATCAACTAACAAAATATATGATTAGGAACAATATTTTACACATAATGGCATAACCAATGCACTTAGCATTTTACTAGACGTTGGAGTTAAATCACATTACTAGCATTGCTTTGAAAAGTAACAGCTATGTCATTTTAATGTGTCCATAATCATGCAATAACCAAGGGAAAGATTACATATAAATACATCTAATTAATTTTTACTGTTGGAAATATATTACACAATAAATATATTTTCATTAAGACTAACAATAACCATAAACAGCCATGTCAAAAACACCCAAATAATAACCACATTCATGTTGAAATTTACTATCAACAAACACAACTCTTTAAAGAATTGTAGCTAGCATCATGGTATAACAGTTTCACATGTCAGGTTTTCCTTTTAAAAAAAAAAATTTAAGCTATTGAAAATGGCTCATCAATTAAGGACTATGGTAGTAGCAAAAAGAACACATATTTGCATGCATTACTCAATAGCAAAAGTAAAGAAAGTATTGTACGATATCTTCAATTTTTTTTTTAAAGTAGATTTGTACCAAGAACTCATATCTGTTTGGCGCATATATATATTCAAGGAAATCAAAATTTTCTATCATGCTTACACAAAGCCTCTTATATTTCACTTTTGATTTGCATGTTGAATTACCTTAAAATTGTTATTTCTCAAACACTCTCCTCCATCTCCACATTATGTCATTATTGTGCTTCAATCACAAGATAAAAAAATAATAATAATTAGTGAACTTATCAAGAAATACTGATAAGAAAATATCATTGAAATACGCGTGAAAAGCTTACTTATTTTAAGGTAATTCACGTCTCTGCGAAAAGTAGATCAATTGGTGCAACAGACATATATATAGCATATTGCCCCTAGGATGTTACAGCTTTATAGTTAAACTCTATAAATCTGCACTATCCATAAAGTCGCCAAACTCAAAACATCCTTCCTTACCCAAAAATACTTAGAAGATAAAGCGAAGTAAGGAAAATAAAAGAATGCAGAAGAATTCTCTTTTTTAAGCAAATAGACATGTCCTATTCATAAGACTTATGGTCTTGTAACTCTCATTTGTAAGTTAATGATAGGAATAAATTAAGTAATTATTATGAAATGATGTGCCTTTAAATAAGATAATTAACCAGAATGATTAATTTGACTAAGTTTTTAATAAGACAATAAATTTAATTTATAAAATATATTAGTTTAATTTTTATTAAAATATTTAAGTTTCAACAATTTT